GGGGTGCTAACCCTTCCCCACACGTAATCGACTCCCGAACTCAGATTTTGATAACGCGGACCTCTACTTGTCGTTTTAATTAAAATTAATTTTTATTTAAAATGACAAAATGTTTTTGGGTGCCCAATCACACCCTAATCAAAGATTGGTGGCGACTCCTCGAAGCTTATATTTTTACCGTAACGGAATTTCCAATTTTTCGAAACGAGAGGTTTTCTAAAATTGCATCGTTTTTAATTAAAAATTCAATTGAAAAGAGAATAATTAAAAATGACGCGGTTTTCAAAGTCTCGCCCCCACTCCCGTTTAAAAATCGTTTCGACAACAGAAACGTATAAAAAGTAGAAGTCATGGAAATTACTACAAAGGCATTAAAAGAAGACAGAGATGATACACCCTATGGATGTGACCCGCACTACTCGGCTACCCTGGTCTTAAGTCTCCATACTTTCCTATCAGAGGTCATGTCCTCGGTAAGGGCTAAATCCTTCAAATCAGATCTCAAGCAGTATTCCCACTTTCGCCTTGGTCGTCCTCTCCTTCTGACACCGTCGACTGTAATCCACTCTACCCTCTTGACCGCATCCGAAGGTTGTCGCCTAAGGACATGCCCAAACCATCGTAGTATTCCCTCCCTCAATATTTTGGATACAGGCACCACCCCCAAGGGCATCCTAATAGCAGAGTTTGGTGTCATGTCCCACAGAGTCCTACCACATGGCCATCGAAGCATTCTCATTTCTACGGCCTTCATCTTCGTTACGTGATCCTTCTTGATTGCCCAACATTCTGATCCATACAGCAGCGCTGGTCTTATTGTCATTCTATAAAATTTTCCCTTAAGTTTTAGAGGCACCTTCTTGTCGCACAAAACTCCGGTAGCAGCCCTCCACTTTAGCCAACCCGCCTTTATACGACGTGTAACGTCATCATCCACACCCCCATCTTTATGTATCATAGACCCTAGGTACTTGAAACAATCCTTTGAGGGGAGAACGTGTCCTTCTATGCATACCTCTTCATCTTCATCATTTTGGTTCCCACTGAAGTTTGAACATAAATACTTTGTCTTTTCAATATTGATCCTTAGACCTTTTTCTTCCAAAACAGTCTTCCAGGTAGCCAGTCTACTATTTAGCTCAGTTCTTGTTTCAGCAACTAGGACAATGTCGTCAGCGAAAAGCATATACCATGGAACATCGTCTGATGTCGCACAATATATGTCGTCCATAATCAAGGCGAAGATGTAAGGCCTAAGAGCCGACCCCTGGTGGAGTCCGATTTCCAACCCACATTCAAAACAAACATATACCTAAATGTTAGCCCACATTCATAATAGTCCTTATGTATATCTTATAAAATTAAATAGTTATTTAACATTTTATAATAATTTTTCAATATTTTATAATTTTTAAAATAATTATGTGATATTTTATATTTTAAAAATAAATCATTTTTTTACAATTTTCATAATATTTTTTATTTTTTTTAATAAATTTCAAAATTTTCAAAAATAATTCCATATTTTAGATAGCTATAAAATATTTTTCAAAAGTTTTTCATATTTCTTTAAATTTTTAATATTTATTATAATTTTAATAAAATTTAATGTATTATTTTTTAAATAAATATTGATATTTTTAGATAAAATAATAATTTATTTTTATACTTTTAAAATATTATTTAAAATCTTTTCATAATTTTTTATTTTAAAAAATTTTAAAGATTTTTTAAATTAAATTTTAAAAAATCTACAAACACCACATGACATCACCAAAGAGTGGCATATGATTCACTTTGAAATTGTCACATGGAAAATAACTTAATATTAAGATTTAAAGGTCAAAATTGATCAAAAAGCTTTATTTAATATACTTTTACATTTGAATGGCTTATTAAATTTAATTTATTAGTGTAAAGGCGTACTTGGGTGCCAGAAAATTTAAATGTTGGATTAATTTTATTTCATATGGTTTGAGATTTTTGAATTCTTAAGTTATATATAAATAAAAAATGCTTAAATCTATATACATATATAACATATTTATGGAGAACACAATTTTAAAAAAAATAATAGGAGTGATTGAAATTACGAGTTTAAAATCTAAAAATATTTTAAATTTTTCCACTAATAAATTTTTGAGTTAGTGACAAATATAACATGTCACTAAAAAATTTTGAAATTTTTTTATGTTAATTATTGGCACTAAAAATTAATTGACAATCATATTATGTCTTTTCAAATCGTCATATAAAAACAAGACATATAATAATGAATAAAAAAAATTGCATTAATCATGTTAAACTTATATTTTGTGATAAGAAAAAAAACATCTCCCTTTAATTTCTTATAAAATATGACAAATCAAATTGTCATGAATAAAATTCTTTGGTGAAAAATTTGTAATGTCACTAATTAAAATCGAATCGTTATAATAATAAATCGTCACTAAAACTTCTATTTCATTGGAGACGATTTTACAATGTCATCATTTTATCTAAACGTCATTGAAAAGTTTTCCACCAAAATTTTTTTGGACGCAAAATTTGACTCCAAACATATAGCGATGAAAATCAATGACCTTTTTTAAATTGTCATAAATGATATATCATTAATCACTAAATATGACGAAGACAGACAATTGTCATGTTTATAGTACATTTTGTGACATTATTCACAATGTCATATAGAAAATTGTCACAAATTAATAAATTTATTGTAGTGTGTAACCAGACTTCGACATATGTGGCTCAAGCATATGAGCAAACTTGGAATAATAGAGTTGAGTAGATGAGTCTTCTTGATGGTTAAGAAATTTTAGCTAGTATTCTACTAACACCACATGGTTGACAAACAAAAGAGAGTCCTCTTTACCAAAATAATCCATAATACAAAGGGTACGCAAGATTACATTCATTCTTATATGTGGGGTTTGTATAGAGTATCATATCATGGAAGCGCAAACTACATACTGACAATCATTGATAACTATTCTAGAAAGGTTTAGATGTTCTTCATGAAGCAGAAGAGTATGTGATGGCCACATTCAAGAATTGGAAAATAATGATTGAGAAATAGACCGGAAGACAAGTTAAATGCCTTCGCTCTAATAATTGCTTAGATTTCTGTTCTGATGAATTTAATAAGTTATGCAGTTAAGAAAGGATTGTGAGACACTTGACAGTTCACCATACGCCACAACAAAATTGTGTTACTAAGCGGATGAATAAAATGATAATGAAGAGGGTTCATTGTATGCTCTCCAATTCTGGTCTACCGAAATCATTTTGGGTTGAAATGGCTTCGCTAGTGCATCTTTTGATTAACATGTCTCTATCCATGGTCACTGACAAAAGGAATCCGCAAAAGGTATGGTATTACAAGCATGCAGACTACTATGATTTAAAGATATTTAGTTGTCGTGCTTATGTTCATGTAAATAATGGTAAATTAGAGCCTAGCACCATGAAGTGGGTAACACATCAAATTCCAAACTAATAGTTTTGGGTTTACCCAAGAGGTATGTGGACCATGTGGAGTTCATAATTGAAGTCGTTGAGCTGAGTGGATGCTTAATTTGATTTAAATTAGGCCTGATTAGTCATAAAAAAAAAGGATTTTATCATAGTAGATAGTGAGGAGGGGCCAAAAGTGTGATTTTGCCATTTTTAAAAAGATGAGAAGTTTTTTTTATCTTCTTTCATCTTCTCCTATTCATTTCATTCTTTCTCATTTCCTTCTCATCTTTCCTCTCCTAGTGTCATTGCTGTTTCAGCTCTTAGCCTTCTACAATTTCTGGGTAGGGAGGTTTATTTTTGTTCCACCATTATTATAAATTTCATATGATAGAAGGTAAAAGAGGGTTCCATTGGCGAGTAATGTTTTCATCTACCGGTTAGCATGTTCTATAATTTATTTGGCTCAGTTAATGGGATGATATGTTGATTATTGTAGGTTGAAGAATACAGCAAAATTTTGGTATGGAATGTGCATAATAGAATGTGCCCAAATTAGGAAGTGTGAGGCTCTGATAAGGGCATATTCTTGCCACAGTTTTGGTGTGTATGATTATTTTACATGAAATATGAAACATGGTTTCAATAAACATCTTTTTCATATGTTTTTCTTTTTTTTAATTAGTTTTTAGTGATGTAAGAAGAGAAAAACAAAGGGAGCCTGCATTGCATGATATTGATGGGATAATAGTATGGGTGGCATGAGGTGATGTTGAGTATTTTAATGAGTTGGCGCAAATTCTGAGTCAGGTAAAGCAATGGGTTTACCTTTTGGATTCTAGAGGATTATTTGTAACCCCTCCAAGTGGAAAGCTTTGGGGCTCTCTTGATTTTTATTTTTTTTTAATTATGTCTTAAATTGACTTCAGACTCTTGGGAGATCAAGGGGACAGGACAATGACTAAGCAACACCCCTTTGCCCTAAGTTTGAGGTTTTGTCAGACCTAAATTATTCTTTTGTTGACAATTACATTATTGTCCTTAGAAAGGTTGATTTTGTCTTGTAATGAACATTGGGGAAAAAAGATTATATTATTCCGGTTTTGTTTCGAAATGAGAATTTTGGAAATGGTTTGTGTGGTTAAAAACAAGTGGACCATCTCACCGGATTTGTTAATTTTGATTTACTTGCTTGACCATTTAAAAACTTCAAAATTTGAAATTATTGTATGAATTTTTAAAAAATAAAATAATTTTTACTATATAATTATTTAAAAATAATATTTAGATATTAAATCTACTCATTATATGAGCAAAATTTGATTGAACCCATTAGGGAAAATATTTTTTTGCCAACTCTGACAAGCTTTTTCAATTTCTTATTGCTCTAAAAAATCACAAGTTGTGAAAGGGGCAGATAGGACATTGCAGTGGAAGTCAAAATGAAGCATAAGTAGCTGAATTCAGACAAACACTGGGATAGTTATCTAGATTGCTCATAGAATATAAATCCCCTTTGTCCATTGACAATAAACCAAGTTGATGCCTTGTAAAATCAAACCTTGACCCTTTCTGTTATCTCAATCTCTGCTTATTGCCAATGGAAATCCAGTTCCAAGAACAGCAGCGGCTTCTGAGACCAAATATTCCTATTAGCAAACTCAAGGGGAGAAATAAAAGCAACAATAAAGTTAACAAGTTTGTTGGTGTAAGGCAAAGACCTTCTGGTAAATGGGTAGCTGAGATCAAAGACACAACAAAGAACATCAGAATGTGGCTTGGCACCTTCAACACGGCTGAAGAAGCCGCTAGAGCTTACGATGAAGCTGCTTGCCTTCTCCGCGGTTCCAATACTCGCACCAACTTCGTTACTCAGGTGTCGTCTGACTCTCCTCTTGCATTTCGGATCCGAAATCTTCTTAACAGAAAAAAGGGAGCTAAGGAACCAAGTGTTTTAGCCTCAGCCCCCACAACAAGTACCACCCCAAGTTTTAGCCCCAGCAGTAGTATTATTACTACTACTAGTAGTAGTAGTAGTAGTGGTAGTTCTTCGAATTGCGGTGGAGGCTTCAGTAATGAGAATTCTTCTCCTATCGAAATTGTTCAAGATACTCAACTCTTTGACGATGCATACAAGCCTGACATGAGTAACTGCACAAGGGAATTGGAGTCTGCATCTTCTGAACCAGATTTTTCTTATACCTCTGAATCAGGGTTTGATAGGTTTCTTTATACAGAAGAAAACATGAATTTGCCCAAGAATGTTGTTTTGTCTGAGGAAACAGGCTCCGAGTTGACAGAATTCGAGAGGATGAAAGTTGAAAGACAAATCTCGGCTTCACTTTATGCTATGAATGGACTGCAAGAGTGTCTCGAAACTCTCCATGATCCTGCTGAAGCCTTGTGGGATCTTCCACCGTTATGCTCTTTGTTTTCTTAAATTCTTGAACATGATCTTCATTTCCGTCTTTGCTTCCATTTATCCTTGTAAAATCAAGAGAGTAGATGATTTAGATTTAGTTGCATGTTGTTGTAGATCACAGGGACAAGAATAACAGGCAGAGATTAGAGATGATCTCCATTTTGTAAAATGTCAACTATTCCTTTGGAAGGTCTCATCCATCTCTGAATACAAAAATGTCTAAGCAATCATGCTGATTTAATTATGACTTTATATCATTAATTTTTTATGCCAAACGAGGTTAAGATATTTCAACCATGCTGATAAACCAATGTCTATCATACAATCATGCTACGCCCCACTTCACATTCAACTAGATTTGGTATCAAAATTCAGTGCCCCCATAGCGAGGTGATCAGTTTGTACAAGGTCGGGGAATGACTTTACGGTCGTATGGCTGACGGGCTATATTGGCCCCGATTCAAGCTTCATTGAGGCATGTAACAGCCTGCAATCTGATCGGAGGAAGGGATTTTGGAGTTAGCTCACACCCGATGAGATAACAGCCAGGATAATCGAGAATTTTCTTATAGTTAGGGTGATTAATGATAACCTTGTTTTGAGCTCTATTTTTAATAGTTGCAACTTGAATTATAGTCAAACAGTTCATGTATATGATAAGGATGTACCAAAGAGACCCAGACTAGCAAGGGAGAGTCATCAACTATTAAGATAGATGAAGATAAGGTTGTAGTTATAGTGTTATCTATTCTCTTTAAAGAAATCATTGATGAGTTCCAATGGGACCTACTTACCTACCTAACACAATTTTGGTTACTGTATTCAAAATATTTTGTGGATGTTCACCTGCATGTTATATGTAGACACTTGAAGTTTATTTCGTTGTTATTCGAGTCCGGGTCGAGGATACATGCGAGTATGTTTAATTTTACGAATTCTTTTTCTTCATATTTTTGGACCATACCCTGTATGAATGTCTGAGAATGTGTTGGAAATGAGTTCTTTAAGGAAAATAAACCTGTATCATAAACTAACTCGACCTAATCATTGAACACTAAGTCGCGTCACAAGGTAGAAACTTTTTATTCGACATTGAAAGGTTACATCTCCAGGTGCATAGCCAGTGAAGAAATTGAAAGACATTCAGTAAATGAAGTACAGGGACTAGTTTACAAGAGTAAAAATATAGAGATTGAGGTACATGGTGCACCAGTCGACGCCTGATTCGCTGAAATATGGATCTAGTAATCTTCTGGTTCTTCTTCATCTTCACCACCTTCTGCTCCGACTTCCTCGTAGTCTTTCTCGAGAGCAGCGAGATCTTCGCGGGCTTCGGAGAATTCACCTTCCGCCATTCCTTCACCTACGTACCAGTGAACAAAGGCTCTCTTGGCATACATGAGATCAAACTTGTGGTCGATTCGGGAGAAAACCTAGGCCACAGCAGTGTTGTTGCTGATCATACACACCGCACGTTGCACCCGAGCAAGATCGCCTCCAGGTACCACTGTGGGTGGCTGATAGTTGATACCACACTTGAAACCAGTAGGACACCTGAAAAAGAGATGCACCAGAATCATTTACAAGGTAAAATTCATGCTTTCCCCTTCAAATTGAACTGCAAGAGATGTCTACTAACCAGTCTACAAACTGAACCGTCCCCTTAGTTTTGATGGTGGCAACAGCAGCATTGACATCCTTCGGTATGACGTCTCCTCGGTACATTAAACAACACGCCATGTACTTGCCATGCCTTGGATCACATTTAGCCGTCATGCTTGAGGGTTCGAAAACAGCACTCGGTAATCTCAGGAACCGATAGCTGCTCATGGTAAGCCTTTGCAGCAGAGATCACAGGTGCATATGATGAGAGCATGAAATGAATACGAGGATACGGCACAAGGTTAGTCTGAAACTCAGTAACGTCCACGTTTATGGCACCATCAAACCTCAATGAAGTTGTTAAAGAAGATATGATTTGCGATATCAAGCGGTTCAAGTTTGTATAAGTCGGTCTTTCTATGTCTAAGGATCTCCTACAGATGTCATATATAGCTTCGTTGTCAAGAAGCACTGCAACATCTATGTGTTCAAGGAGAGAATGAGTTAAGAGCACGCTATTGTAAGGCTCAACGACCGCAGTTGAAACCTGCACGGTTCAGCATAATGGTTCAAGCATAGAGAAAAAGCAGGGCACTAGATTGTCTCGTACAATTCCTTAAAGTCTTCGGGGAATTACCTGAGGAGAAGGGTAGATGGTGAAGCCGAGTTTCAACTTCTTTCCGTAATCGACCGATAAGCGCTCCAAAAGCAATGAACCTAAACCAGAACCAGTTCCACCACCAACAGCATTGAACACCAAAAACCCTTGCAGACCAGTACAGTTATCAGCCAATTTTCTTATTCTGTCCAGGCAGAGGTCCACAATCTCCCTACCAACTGCATCATACATCATTGATGATGAAAATATTTAACGGAATGACTCGATCTAATAAAACTGTCATTTAGGAATAGCACAACAGATGGATGTGCCTGTATAATGTCCTCTAGCAAAGTTGTTAGCAGGATCGTCCTTGCCAGAAATAAGTTGCTCTGGATGAAAGAGTTGTCTATAAGTCCCAGCTCGAACTTCATCGATGACAGTGGGCTCTAGATCGACGAATATAGCTCTCGGCACATGCTTCCCAGACCCGATCTCGCTAAAGAAGGTATTGAAAGCATCATGGCAAACACCTACTGTGGTGTTACTGCAATCAAACACCATAGATACATTGGGAAATATGTTAAATTGTATAGCTTTACTTAAATTCATACCAAATATGATGATGATGAAAGATGTAAAACATACGTATATACATGAGCTCACCTAGGCATCATGCCATCAGGTTGAATTCCATGTTCAAGGCAGTAAAGCTCCCAACAGGAATTCCCAACCTGAATCCCAGCTTGTCCTATATGAATGCTAATCACTTCTCTCATCTTTTTTTTCAAAACAACCTTTCTGTTTCTTCAACCTTTTTCTGTCTGATGAAGGAAGAACAATGGAAGAGAATGAAAGAGGTTTACAGAAAGAAAAAGGATGGAATGTGGGCATTAAAGAAGGGAGAAGAAGTATATTTAATTAGAAAAAAATGTACAGCTATCTGATAGAGCAAAATCGTAACTGATAATTTGAGAAAATAAAAATGAAGATAAAAAGAGACACAAAATTTACGTGGAAAACCCCTAAATAATATAGGATAAAAACCATGGGCAACGGTAGAAGAATTTTACTATAAGAAAATAGGAATTACAACCTCTCTCGATCTACCAAGAAGAAAACAATGATAATTCTCTCTTGATAAAAAGGAGAAAACAACTCTCAAGAAACTCTCTAAATTCTCTCTAGTATTGGAAGAAAGCTAGAATGCTTTGGGATGATTTTGAAGCTAAACGAGCTAGGGTATTTATAGTTGAAACTTAAGGACTAATCTTATAAATACCCTAAATTACAATGACTAAAATTAATTATCCTATTACCCAATTTCAACAAAAATTAGGTGCTTAATTTTTTGACTTTGACAAAGTACCATTTGGTGCCTAATTTGGTGCCTAAATTATTTGACTTTTAACAATCTCCCACTTGAAGATTTGATTGAAATAATCATATCTTCACACCATTCTTTCTACCTTGTACCTTCATGTTGCTTACGTTTCTGACAGGCCACAAGAGGATCGACACCAGGTAAATTTATCAACATTGATTGCCTTCGTCATGAAATCTGTTATGTTGTCTTTGGTATGGATCTTCTGCATATCTACCGTTCCTTCTTCCACCTTTTCACGAATGAAATGGTACTGAACTCGTATGTGCTTAGTCCTTAAATGAAATGTTGGATTCCTTGCTAGATGCAAAGCGCTTTGACTGTCACAAAACAGAGAGACATACTCTTGATTGTGCCCAAGCTCCTCCAATAGCATCTTCAACCAAATTGCTTCTTTACTGGCTTGTGTAGCTGCTACATATTCTGCCTCTGTTGTAGACGTAGCCACAACTGACTGCAATTTTGAAACCCAGCTTACAGCTCCACTAGCAATTTGAACATATCCTGTAGTAGATTTGCTTTTATCCAAATCCCCTGTATAGTCAGAATCTACATAACCATTGATTAGTAAGTTTGATCATCCGTAACATAATGCAACATTTGAGGTCCCTTTGATACATCTGAGGATCCTCTTTACAATATTCCAATGCTCTTTGCCTGGATTCGCCATGTACCGACTAACCACTCTCACTGCTTGTGCAATGTCTGGTCTTGTGCATATCATAGCGAACATTAAACTTCCCACTACTGATGCATACGGTACTCGAGACATCTCAATCCTCTCTTCTTCACTGCTAGGACTCATACTGGAGGATAATTTGAAGTTAATAGGAAGATGGGTAGAAATTGGCTTACAATCTTGCATGTTGAATCGTGACAAGTTCTTCTTCAAGTAATTATTTTGTGAAAGCCAAATCTTCCTATCACTTCTGTCTCGGTGAATTTGCATCCCTATAATCTTGTTTCCTGATCCCAAGTCCTTCATTTCAAATTCCCTAGCCAGTTGTGCCTTCAATTCTTCAATATAATCTTTGTTGGGTCCTGCAACCAATATGTCATCCACATACAACAACAATATAACAAAATCGTTATCACCAGACCTCTTAAAATAAGCACAAGGGTCTGCATTAAGTCTGTTGTATCCAAGGCACATAATGAAGGAATCAAATCTCTTATACCAACACCTCGGCGTCTGCTTTAGACCGTACAGAGATTTGTTCAACCTGCAAACCAAGTTCTTATTTTCTTTTTCTTCAAAACCTTCAGGCTGGAGCATGTAAATCTCTTCTTCAAGATTTCCATGAAGAAAAGCTGTTTTAACATCTAGCTGCTCTAGATGTAAGTTCAATGTAGCACACATTGCCAAAACTACTCGAACTGTTGTTAGTCAAACCACAGGAGAAAATATTTCATTGAAATCAATACCTTATTTTTTATCATATCCTTTGACCACCAGTCTTGCACGATACCTCTCAACTTGATCGTCACCATTTCGCTTGATTTTGAAGACCCATTTGTTACCAATTGACTTCCTTCCTTGTGGTAGTGACACAAGGTCCCATGTATTATTTTTATGAAGGGCTTCGATTTCTTCTTGCATCGCCATCATCCACAGTGAAGCATCTGATGTTTATTGCCTCCTGGTATTGATGGCTCACCGTCCTCTGTTAAAAGGAAGTATGCAATATTACCTTCTATAACATA